GGAAAAGCCGCAAAGCGGCTGGTGCCGTGGCCACACCAAAGGAATCAAGAGGAGTTTTTGATTAGGATCTGCAAAGCGAAGGAATTCAGTGTACAACCCGAAGAGTAAGTAGTCGTAACTTGAGCAACTTCAGTTGCCCTCCTGTCCTCGGGTTCGTCCGATTCAAACCAGGGCCTCGCAATTTTTCACGAGAGAAGAAGTGGCAAGCCGAAGAAAAGGATGCAGGAAATGGGCGGACAAGCAAGACAATATTTCTATCCTTTGGGAAAAGCAAGGCAAATGAGCAAATGCTCAAGAAGCCCCGCAAGAGTTCCAAAAAAAAAAACAGTCCAGACTAAGCATCTCTCGGATGCCAGACGCAGGCGACTTTGGACTACATCCTGTCAAGTACCCGAAGTGATCCAGCTGGCTGTGGGTCACGGGTAACCCCAATATGGGTTGGCCGATCGTAAATGGGGCACACGGACTCAAACCTGCGGTTTTTTGGTGGTTTAGTTTTGACCCACACCCAGAGTCCCTCCAAAATCCGGAAAAGATCTGTGCACCCCTTCCAAGGGTCATCTTCAGAGGCCAAGAGCCGCTGGGGAACAGTAAGCTACAAGAAGCCGATTGGGGCCCAACTTGTCTACGGTGTTTGCATAATGTAAAGCAGCACCCGCATTTTTAGGTTGCATTTGTGTTGGGCGGAAGGTGGCGACAACATGAAGTGCGTCTTGTTTTCTTGCAGATGCGCAGCTTAACTTATGATGCCGCTCGCCTTCTCAGATCGAGGTAAGCTGGAGCAATACCCGAATGACTTAAAAAAATATGATTCCAATGGTCACAACTTCTTGAAAACCCCGGCATGATTCCACAAGATGAGACTGCTTGAGCTGGTTGGCCGAGGCACCAGTTCGGATGCCCAGCCAGCACTTGCCTAAACCGGAATCACCCCTTGAAACAATACTCGCTTGTTCCAGTGGCTTACGTTCCACTCGAAACCCAGGATAAGCTGTACCACCATCCTTTCAGCAAAAAACGCTAAAAGATGCTACGCCAAATAAGCTGGTTTGAAAGAACAGCTGCCTGCCTTCTTCAGGGGCTTGAGCCTAGTTCCAAGACGACCAGCAAGTCTTAAGCAGGGCATGCGAAACCTTGACGAAGCAAACCCTGGCCTCTGCCAAACACCCAGAAACCTAGAGGCGACCGAAAGGAAAGAACTTAACACTAGACAAAGGCAACCAAAGGCAACCAAACCAATGAATAACAAATCTGACTACCTGACAGGGCCCAGGTGGAAGCCTGGCTAGAAGCATGGCTTCGGCAGAAGCCCGGGTTCTTCTTTTGGGTTATCATGTTTTGGGGATGGTTTAACTGGGAGAGGGCAAATCCCCAAAGACGACCACTGTGGTCATGATGTTGTCTATTTCTGGGGCGAAAGTCAAAACCGACGTTTCTTTCCCTGCTAGCCTACCACCTCGGGGCTAGCTTTGATAACAGCACGGCCCTGAAATGGCAATGGTGTTCGTTTGCCCCTCTAAAACCATCTAAACGGGGGGGTCCACTGAGAACATGCAAAGCTCAAAAGGCATACTGTATCTTTTTGCGGCAAAGTGAATGTTCCAATGGGAATCTATGAACCTTTTCAGGTACCCTTTCTTAAAATTGGCTAAAATGAGGGGGGAACCCAGCAAAAAACCTGGAAACTCCCTGGAACCTCCCTGGAAGTAACCTCCCTAAAAACTCGGAAACTCCCTGGGAATTCACATCATCCTGGAGCCTGGAGTGTCACAAACTCTGGGAAAAGTTCACTCCGCCCGGAGAAACTCCCGGGAGTTCTGTTGGGTACCTTCCATTTCCATTCTTTCCAGAGATCCGAATCTTTCGAAAAGAAAACCTCCCCCAATCCCAGAGAAAACGGCGATCGGTTTTTGAAAAGAACCAGGGTTGAAAAGAATGGACGAGGAATCAAGCCCTATCCCAATCGCTTTTTTGGCGCTGCTTCGCTGGTTTCTTAGGCTTCTTTTTTTCTTAAAGGAGCACGAGTGAGTCAGCGTGTTCTTTCTAGAAAACCTCAGGCACATCCCAAAGGAATCAACCCCTAGAAAAACCGACCCCGCAAAGGGTAACGCGCCTCAAGCCCCACTGAATCGCCCAGCAAATTGGCAGCAAGTTGTGTCCAAGGTGTCCAAGTCGTGTTTCCTTCAAATCCCGTTGCAGCTTGTGGCTGGGTAGTGGGTAGTATTCTTCATGTTGGAGCAACCCCTCGAATTTCTGGTGAAACCCCTGACACTTTGGAGCAACGAGAACCCCCGGCCTTGGTCTCCACCCGGTCCAGCAGGCCTCCCAAGATGGCACCCAGCGCCCGGCCCTTTTGCCGCGCCAGGCGCTGGAAGAGGAAGCCACGGAACAGGTCCTCGTTGTTGTTTCGTTTTTTTTTGGAAACCCCTGCACCAACATTATACCCAGAAAAAGGTCCTTGTTGTTGCTTCTATTGCTTCTTTTAGGAACCCCTGCACCAACATTCTACCCAAAAGATGGTTGGGCGTGTCGTTTTTTGAGGCTACCCCTTTTTGGTAGCCTTTGAAGAGAAACCGAACAAAAAGCCGAAGCCATTTTGGGGGTTCCCTACAAAAGCCACACCTAGGTATACTTCAGAACTTTAAAGCCAAAGTTGGCTGCGACGTTTACGGAAAAACATGTTAGGTAAACCAATGAGATTGTGCTTGTAAAAGCCAAGACAACAAAAATGCTTGGCTTCCCAAAAAAATGGATGGTTGGCGTCCCCAAACTGCCCAGGATTTTAGGGGCTAAATAATCAGACACATATTTACATATACGTATGTATATATACGTGTATATATATATATATATAAAGACACTGTCTATATATATATATACATATATACGCACTTTTGGGGGAAACTCAACAATCAGAATGCAGCTGTGGGATCATGGAGCAAAATACCAAACAAATACTTTGTTCGGGTTTAATGATCAGAATGGGATTCTGGGGTCCTTTAACCCCAAATTTAGCTATGATCTCCTTCAGGGAAACCAATGTTTGAGGAATCAAAGGGAACAGATCCGATGTTTTAAGACAAGCGCAACAGTGCCCGCCAAAAGATATGATGCTCTGCACCTAACACACCTAGAACGGTGCCCCTTGAAACCCATGGATCGTGCCGCGGTGATCCGGATGGATCGGTCTGGATCACCTCCGTTTTGGGTCTCGACCGGTGGATCGCTGGCCGCGGCCAATTGGGGCTCTGGGTGTGGGGTCCAAGAAGTCCAACATGGGGTGTGCTCTGACCTCTTTGGCAATGCCTGGCTTGTTTGGAGTGGACATGATTTGGACACCTGTCTTTCAAGGGCCCTTTCCAAAAATGATTCCTCCCGTCTCTACAGTCGGTTTTTTCGGTGACATCTCCGGAACAAAAATGGGATTGAAAATGATGAAAGCCAGGAAGACGATACTTCATAAAGGCATGCAACAAAAACGAATACGTATTGGCTTGCCGCAAAACTAGAGGGCCCGTTCCTTTTGGAAAAAACCGGACAAGGGCTTGCTCCCCTTGTCAAAAGGACACACCCATTTGTGTTCTGGTAAGGGATTCCTTGCGCTTTCCTTTGAAACGTAGCGAAAAGAGAATCGTTTCCTCCCCCCCACCCACCTTCCAAATATGCACACCCCAAAGAGGTGCCTCCACCACAAACCCCCATTCAGAAGAAGCCACAAATTTCGCCGCCGCCCCCCCCCCCTTGCGCCTCCGAATAAAAATAAACATAATAAGAAGAAGAAGAATAATAACAAATAGTTTAGTTATTCTTATTTTATTTTTCCCCAAAAGCATCTCTGATGCTTGGGTTCTGCTTTAGGTTTTCTCTTAAGGTGCCTGGGAGCGATACAAGCTGTGACGACGGAGATAAGAAGGGATTTCCATTTCGTTGTGCTGCAGACCGGGCGTGCGATGCCGGCTGGGGGTGCAGATTGGGCGTACGAGGCTGGCTGGGGGGACGGCGGCGTGGGGCTGGCTGGGGGGACGGCGGTGTGGTGCAGACTGGGCGCACGAGGCTGGCTGGAAACTGCCCGCGAGCGAGACTGGCTGGCTGGGGGGACGCAGACTGGGCGTGGCTGGAAACCGCCCGCAAGCGAGACTGGCTGGCTGGGGGGACGGCGGTGTGGCGCCGGCTGGGCGTGCGAGGCTGGCTGGAAACCGCCCGCGAGCGAGACTGGCGCGGTGGACGCTCGTGACATGCGGAAACCGCCCGCGAGCGAGACTGGCGCGGTGGACGCTCGTGTGACAGGCGGAAACCGCCCCCGAGCGAGACTGGCGCGGGGGACGCGCGTGACATGCGGAAACCGCCCGCGAGCGAGACTGGCGCGGTGGACACTCGTGACATGCGGAAACCGCCCGCGAGCGAGACTGGCGCGGTGGACGCTCGTGACATGCGGAAACCGCCCGCGAGCGAGACTGGCGCGGTGGACGCTCGTGACATGCGGAAACCGCCCGCGAGCGAGACTGGCGCAGTGGACGCTCGTGACACGCGGAAACCGCCCGCGAGCGAGACTGGCGTGGTGGACACTCGTGACATTGGGAAACCGCCCGCGAGCGAGACTGGCGCGGTGGATGCTTGTGACATGCGGAAACCGCCCGCGAGCAAGACTGGCGCGGCGGACGCTCGTGACATGTGGAAACCGCCCGCGAGAGAGACTGGCGCGGCGGACGCTCGTGACATGCGGAAACCGCCCGCGAGCGAGAATGGCGCGGTGGACGCTCGTGACATGCGGAAACCGCCCGCGAGCGAGACTGGCGCGGTGGACGCTCGTGACATGCGGAAACCGCCCGCGAGCGAGACTGGCGCGGTGGACGCTCGTGACATGCGGAAACCGCCCGCGAGCGAGACTGGCGCGGTGGACGCTCGTGACATGCGGAAACCGCCCGCGAGCGAGACTGGCGCGGTGGACGCTCGTGACATGCGGAAACCGCCCGCGAGCGAGACTGGCGCGGTGGACGCTCGTGACAGGCGGAAACCGCCCGCGAGCGAGACTGGCGCGGTGGACGCTCGTGACATGCGGAACCGCCCGCGAGCGAGACTGGCGCGGCGGACGCTCGTGACATGCGGAAACCGCCCGCGAGCGAGACTGGCGCGGTGGACGCTCGTGACATGCGGAAACCGCCCGCGAGCGAGACTGGCGCGGTGGACGCTTGTGACATGCGGAAACCGCCCGCAAGCGAGACTGGCGCGGTGGACGGTGGACGCTCGTGACATGCGGAAACCGCCCGCGAGCGAGACTGGCGCGGTGGACGCTCGTGACATGCGGAAACCGCCCGCGAGCGAGACTGGCGCGGTGGACGCTCGTGACATGCGGAAACCGCCCGCGAGCGAGACTGGCGCGGTGGACGCTCGTGACATGCGGAAACCGCCCGAGGGCGAGACTGGCGCGGTGGACGCTCGTGACATGCGGAAACCGCCCGCGAGCGAGACTGGCGCGGTGGACGCTTGTGACATGCAGAAACCGCCCGTGAGCGAGACTGGCGCGGTATACGCTCGTGACATGCGGAAACCGCCCGCGAGCGAGACTGGCGCGGCGGACGCTCGTGACATGCGGAAACCGCCCGCGAGAGAGACTGGCGCGGTGGACGCTCGTGACATGCGGAAACCGCCCGCGAGCGAGACTGGCGCGGTGGACGCTCGTGACATGCGGAAACCGCCCGCGAGCGAGACTGGCGCGGTGGACGCTCGTGACATGCGGAAACCGCCCCCGAGCGAGACTGGCGCGGGGGACGCTCGTCGGCGGACGCTCGTGACAGGCGGAAACCGCCCGCGAGCGAGACTGGCGCGGTGGACGCTCGTGACAGGCGGAAACCGCCCGCGAGCGAGACTGGCGTGGTGGACGCTTGTGACAGGCGGAAACTGCCCGCGAGCGAGACTGGCGCGGTGGAAGCTCGTGACATGCGGAAACCGCCCGCGAGCGAGACTGGCGCGGTGGACGCTCGTGACAGGCGGAAACCGCTCGCGAGCGAGACTGGCACGGTGGACGCTCGTGACATGCGGGAACCGCCCGCGAGCGAGACTGGCGCGGTGGACGCTCGTGACATGCGGAAACCGTTCGCGAGCGAGACTGGCGCGGTGGACGCTCGTGACATGCGGAAACCGCCCGCGAGGGAGACTGGCACGGTGGACGCTCGTGACATGCGGAAACCGCCCGCGAGCGAGACTGGCGCGGTGGACGCTTGTGACATGCGGAAACCGCCCGCGAGCGAGACTGGCGCGGTGGACGCTCCTGACATGCAGAAACCGCCCGCGAGCGAGACTGGCGCGGTGGACGCTCGTGACAGGCGGAAACCGCCCGCGAGCAAGACTGGCGCGGTGGACGCTCGTGACAGGCGGAGACCGCCCGTGAGCGAGACTGGCACGGTGGACGCTCGTGACATGCGGAGACCGCCCGCGAGCGAGACTGGCGCGGTGGACGCTTGTGACATGCGGAAACCGCCCGCGAGCGAGACTGGCGCGGTGCACGCTTGTGACATGCGGAAACCGCTGCCGAGCGAGACTGGCGCGGTGGAAGCTTGTGACATGCGGAAACCGCCCGCGAGCGAGACTAGCGCGGTGGACGCTCGTGACATGCCGGCGAGCGAGACTGGCGCGGTGGACGCTCGTGACATGCCGGCGAGCGAGACTGGCGCGGTGGACGCTCATGACATGCGGCATAATTATCCTTTTTGCCGCACACCTGACCCGAACAAATGGTGCCAATGTGTTTCTAGGACGAACCCTCTCTTCAGAAGCTGTAGCCTCTTAGGGTTAGCCCTACTTATTTGGAAGCAGCCTGGAAGCACGTTGACATGAATATGCTGAGCACACGCGGCCCAAACAAAAGGGCGCATGAACATCCGAACAGCTGACCCCTGGTCTACGCAGATCGTGGTAACACTGTGACCGAGGCTTGTCCACACCGAGCCCCCCGCAAAAGCGCAGCGCCGGCCCCGTCTCCACACACTGCAGCGAATCCACCCAACTTGCCATCCACACGCATCCAATTGACAACGTGCGCGGCCCTTTCCACAAAGTCACCAGTTGCAATTTGGTTGCGAATGGGAAAATAGGTGGAGAAACTAACAAATCCAAGCAAGCTTACGAAGCAAGTTTGTGAAGGCCACGTGCACGGCTCCATGTGAACAGCCCGGCGTTCCAGGTGCGCCAAGATTGTCCTTTTTGCCGCACACCTGGCCCGAACAAATGGCGCCAATGTGTTTCTAGGACGAACCCTCTCTTCAGAGTCTGTGGCCTCTTGGGGTTCGCCCTACTTATTTGGAAGCAGCCTGGAAGCACGTTGACATGAATATGCTGAGCACACTCGGCCCAAACAAAAGGGCGCATGAACATCCGAACAGCTGACCCCGGTCTACTCAGATCGTGTTGTAACACTGTGTCTCAGACTTGTTTCAGACAGGCGTCAGACCCACCAAGTGACCGAGGCTTGTCCACACCGAGCCCCCCGCAAAAGCGCAGCGCCGGCCCCGTCTCCACACACCTGCGGCGAATCCACCCAACTTGCCATCCACACGCATCCAATTGACAACGTGCGCGGCCCTTTCCACAAAGTCACCAGTTGCAATTGGTTGCGAATGGGAAAAAAGGTGGAGAAACTAACAAATCCAAGCAAGCTTACGAAGCAAGTTTGTGAAGGCCACGTGCACGGCTCCATGTGAACAGCGCCCGGCGTTCCAGGCGCGCCAAGATTGTCCTTTTTGCCGCACACCTGGCCCGAACAAATGGCGCCAATGTGTTTCCAGGACGTACCCTCTCTTCAGAGTCTGTGGCCTCTTGGGGTTCGCCCTACTTATTTGGAAGCAGCCTGGAAGCACGTTGACATGAATATGCTGAGCACACTCGGCCCAAACAAAAGGGCGCATGAACATCCGAACAGCTGACCCCGGTCTACTCAGATCGTGTTGTAACACTGTGTCTCAGACTTGTTTCAGATGGGTGTAGAGCGAGCTATTGCCTTGCTTCCAATTTGGGAGTGGTAGTTTGTGCGGATCCATTTTCGGATTTCGGCGATTGGTTCTTCATGATGAATCGGATGACTTCGTGCCTTCCATGTAGTGCGGGGCCTGTCATGTTTCACCCGTGCCTTTGCCTTTTTCTCTGTGCTTGGTCAGAGCACAGGCTGCTGGCTGCCAATCCAGCTTGAGTCGCGGTTGGTCCCCTTCTTCATCTGTTTTGGGCTTGATTTCCCAACTGTGAACAACTTAAATCTTGGTTTGCCTTCGGAGCCTTGAGCCGGAAAACAACGGGATCCACATGCAATGGGGAGTGAGGCTGGTTTGCTTTTGGGTTCCCGGGCTCCTCTTGTTATTTATTTAGTAAAAAAACAACTGGAGAAACATCCCAGCGAAGTCCTCCGAGGCCACCGAGCTCCAGAAGACGTAGGCCAGCAGCGCGCAGTCCTTACGTTACGTCTGCCCCGTAAGAAACCGCCGCCCCAAGGAGTTTCCTTAGGCCAGGTATGGTCAGTGGTAAGCCTAAAACAGCGAGGGGCGATCGATTTGGTTTTCGGGGAGTGGGTAGCGAGGCTGGTTTCTAAACCCGAAGGGAGACTTGGTTCCAAGCATCGGTCTTGCACTTCCCACTTGCCTGACGTACCCGATCGCCTGCAGTAGGTTCCCGAATTGGCGGCAAAGGATCCCAGCTGTGGCTCTCGGAAGGGTCGTGATTGATACCCTGGACAAACACCTGCGAGACACCTACCTCGCGATCCATGGAGAGGGACCATGAACCCGAGAAGAACCATTCTTTGGCTGTTTTTATTTCCAGCCCGGGAAGTCGTGGTTTGGGGCCAGAAGCCATCTTAGACTGTGTTTTTTGGCTTTTGGGAGCCCCACCCAACCCAAACGGACCGAAGAGTTGATCGCTGACGTGCCTCCTGACCATGGCTCACCCAAAGGCCAAACAAAAGGGATGTTCGCTTGGGGTAACCTGCGTAAGCCGAACGTATAACCGCTCATATGTTTTTTTGGGGGGGTGCTGTGGATGGACCAAATCCTGCACCCCTCGGAAACTATGGGAAACCGTGGTTGGTTGGTATTGACAGAGGAATCATCATTCCAGGGTTTCTGTATGTGGTGCAGGCTTGCGTCCATCCACAGTATGTCCATCTTTAAAAACTTGGGATACGCAAGTGGGCAAAAAAACCATCGCCGAGCCACGCACAGCTCCACTCGCTGGCGCCCGCAGCAGTGGGCGACCACCTGCCGACAGCCCAAAGGGAATGAAACTACCGCCGGAGACATATGGATATTTATGTATATATACATACATACATATATATATATATTATACATTCGCAGCCCCGCCCCACCCCCCCCACCCCCCTCGGCACGCACGAAAAAAAGACGGTTCAGCCTGTGAGACAGAAGTGGGCCCGCTTGAGACCCCCACTTGAATCTTGAGTCCAGACTCCAGAGCCCAGAGTGGACACCCGAGGGCAGAGCCCTGCAATGGGGAAAATCCTCTGGGGAGGCACCACGCAGCTGCGAAGCCCTTTCCATTGCTATGCCAAGCGGAAGAGGCAAACCTGTCGGCAAAAGAGAAGGAGAGGGGGAAACTCGTCAGGCCCCAACAAGGGCAAGAGGTGGTCCCCGAGAGGCTTCTATTGAAGGCTTCCATTGAAAGGCACCCCCTAAAAAAAAGTCGGCTTGGGGATGCTTCTTGGGCAATCCTGAAGGGTTGATTTGGGATGCTTCTTGGGAATACCCTACCTGCTCTCTGGACTGGTTTTGGGGCGTGCTTGCGTTTGGTTGACTTAATTGGTTGGCTTGCTCGTCAAGAAAGTTTAGACGGATTCAAAAAGCTAACACAAAAGCTTTTGAATAAGCACAGGCGAGAACAAATGCATACGTGCGGGGAAAAGACATGCCGGAAAAAGTGCCCTCTGCAGGTCTCGGGTCCTTAGACCGCTGTTAACGCAACGCCTCCCCAGGCGCTGGGAGCGACGCGACTCGCAGCACAGGCGGAAGCCTCACCCGGCCCCATCCGCCTGTAGCACCCGGACCGCCTGCCCGAGGCGCCGGTCCGAGACCGGCTCCGGGGTCTCCAGGGCGCTCAGGAAGCGGCGGCAGTCCCTCGCAGCCCGGCCGATTGGCCGATTGGGGGGGGGGGGGGAGGAAGGAAGGAAGGTGCCTCGGCTTCCCACGTTGAAGCCGCCTGGGGGGGGCCTATGTACAGAAACACACTTTTTGCACATTTCAACTGGCTCAAACCATGTTTCGTCAGGTGGCTCAACGTGGTAGTCTTGGATTTTCTTGTTTGGCTGACACCATCTGGGTCTCGCTTCCTCTCGTTGAGGCCGCCGGTTTGGAGCCGGAGCCGAGGCGAAGCATGGCTGGGTGGTGAAATTTTGGAGGTTAGGGGGTGGTGTCCCATTTAACTTCAACATGATCCAGGGGTTCAATCCCCAAACCACTAATCCAAACCAGCAATTTGGGATAAGTTGAGGCGGGTGCCAAAAAAGGGAAAGCAAATGGAGGAGCCATTTCAAAGATCCAGGGCTCAAGTTCCAAACCGCCGGGCTCCAAAGCACCGAAGGCTTGCCTGACAGCTTCTGGCGCTTGGCCAATTTGGTGCGGGCTGCCCAAAAACAAAACGAAAGTGAGAGAAGGTCGGAAGTGGTCCTTCCGAACTCCTCGAGGAAAGGACCGGACCTTCGGGTAAAACTTCCCCGCATCTCAGGCTCACTCGCATAGAACCCGCCTGAAATGGCCCAAAGCCAAAGCGGGACCTTTGTCGAGCTCTGTAAGAGGGCAACACAATTTCCCAATCCAAGCCAAGAAAAGTGGTCAAATGGAAGTTGCCAATCGAAGGCAGCCTTTTTTTGGCTCCCAAGCCTTCTACTCGGGTTGTGATGGCTCGCCTCAACCCAACGACCAGGAGAAGCCCATGACTGGGGCTGAATTCTGCGAGTTGTTTTGCCCGGAAAGCTATCAAAGAAATCTGCCCCTCCACATACCCAAAGGTCTTAGAGATATAATGTAAGGTGTTTCCCTGGGAAATGTCCTGGCAGAGTCTGTGAACTCCTAACCTGGCGTCATCGAAATCAATTTTGGCATTGGGCAAAGGAAGGGGGATCAAAAAGAGGTCGACCCAGGACGATCCGGCGAGAAAAGTGCTTTCAAACTTTCTTGGGGCAAAAGCCAAAAACCCCCGGTTTCCACGGAGGTCAACATTCAACCACCAGACCGCAGGTGTTCGTCCTTTGTTCCATTTACCAGTGCAACCCATTTTGGGGCTACCTATGTTTGATGCACTATGTGGCAATAGTTCATTGAACCTTGCAGCGAGGGGCAAGCTCCCACTAATGATCCATATTCTCTCCGGCCAAAAAAAAATGACCATGGGTAACTTTTTCCATGGGTTCCAGTGATCCCTAATGCTCCCAGGTTCATCGGTCCGTCTGATCAACCCTCGGGTTAAGATCCAGACCCACATGAACCTTCCGGGCCCCATGGGGCGTATCTGTTGGGCGGTCCCTGTCTGGAAAGGCCAAACCGGTCCCGAGAATCTTTTGAGTTGCTCAATTGCTCTCCACCTGTGGCCAGGCTTGGCTTGGAGACACACCTCGGCGAAAAAGAAAAAAAAAACTTGAGCCCCCCAAATGTGTTGCTTCGGGCTCTCGGAAAAAGAACCCAAGCATGTCCACCTGAGACGAAAACTGAGGGACGGGTGCCCTGAACCAATTTGCAAGCCCCCAAAGCGGTGCACGTGTTTATCCTGCCATGGTCAAAAAGTCAAAAGTAAATCCTTGAGTATGATTTAAGAAAAACCTTACTGTAATTACTTTGTTTGAATCAGGAATCGTGTTTAGTGAACCATGGCCCACAATGTGGAAGTTTTGACCCAATTACGCACATGTGGATGCCTCTTCCGAAATCCTTCTGTCCACTTCCACGCTTGGAACCAGGTCCACCTGTTCTTCTCCCTCCTCTAGTACTCTTTTGGGAGTCGGGCTTACCCCCAAGCTTGGTGAGCGTGCCCCAAGCAACCTCAAGGGAACCCTCAACAACAGACACACCCTTTTAGTACCTCGCTCAACATCCCATCCAAATACGAAACACTGCCGGTGACAAAACCAAATCCGGGCCTCAGCACCTCCACCACCTCCGAAGGCACCTCTAAAGGCGAGACTTGAGGTCCTCCATTTGCGGGCAACTGATCAAGCTCAGGGAACCACTGGCTCCTTAGGGTTGGTCCGGAATGGCGCTGCAACTCTGACCTTTGAGAAGGACGCACAAGAGTTGGGCAGTCCAAAATCGACCTTTTCCGGACCAAAAGGAAGGCATGAAGGCGAGCAAGAGGCAGGTCGAAGCCGAGGATAGACTTGGAACACTGCCGAATCTTAATAAATCGATTTGATCAAGTGGGTGGTGAACATGACACCAGACTGGATTTGGTGGTCCATGTTTCCACTCAACCCATGGGGTGATTTCTTTCGGCGTTTTTGGACTCACGGCCTCTTTCCAAAAAAGGCATCCCCGTGGTGGAAGGTGTTCAAGTAGAACAAAAAAAACAAAGCTTTTTGGTTCCGCAAAGCAAGGGAAGGTGTCCCGTACTTTGAGGACAGGGAAGGATCCGCTCGAACATGACACAAACCCATTGTCGGTTTACAGAATGCATCCGATCGAGGAGCAACAAGGAAGGGAAATCAAAGGGAAAGCACAAAGACAACCTAAGACAACCAAAAGCGCCACTTCCTCTTCCATGGCTCATTTTCTAGTTTAAAGGGAAAACCCGAAAAGAGCCACTTGCGCGCAGCAGTTGGACTGGCATTCTGAGTCTGGCAACTTGCTGAAGATATTAGGGACAGCACAAATGAACGCAGTACTACTAGAACCAATTGATGCTTCTGAGAAATTCCCCTGTCTGTGATGCTCTTGTTCTTGCCATAGCCGACCCTCTTGCGACCGTTGCAAATTTTGACTTGAGAGAAACCAAGACGGCCCATTCCCGTGACTGCTTTCTCGAGCTAAAAAATGGATTCCGTTGGCGCATCTCCGAAAGTGACGAACCCAGGTTGTTAACAATTACCCTACAAAGATTTACCCCAAAAGTACAAGATCGGTCGCTCACGGGAAGTGGCCCGAAACCCATGTTCAAACAACTATGAATGCAGTTGGCTGTTTCTCAGAGATTCGGACCCCCCCCCCTTCCCCCCCCCCCCGTTTTGCCAATGGCAAGCCGTTGCCATTTTGGTGGACCGATTCCCATTTTGAGAACCCAAACAAACATGATGATGCCCCCAAAAAAAAACTACCCCCGCCCCCCTAGGCACCCTGTTTGCCAGCCCATATGAGGGGTTGTCAAATGAGAGGGCCTTCAAAACCCGGCACAAGGCGGCGCCAGGGTCCAAAAAGTGGATCCAAAATAGGTACCCAAAATGGGTTGCCCTGGCAAATGGAAGACTAAATCCTGGCCCTGTGAAAACAACAAGCTCCCCATCCCACCTCCACCTTTCCGGCACAGCGCCGTGCCGCCTCTGCCTCCGCAACGCCCAACGCCAGGCCCTGCAAGCCGCGCCCAAGAAATTCGCGGATGTTGAAGATCCGCAAAGGGTGTCTTTTTAAGCGACCCCCCCCCCCAACAAGCGCGGGGTTTTCCAACTTGAATTTCCATTCAAAACCATCAAACAAGGGGTTCCCCCAGAAAAAGAGAGACAAACCCACATTTCAACCCAAGAACCAAACACTGTTGTGCGGAAGAGGTCTTGAGCATCAAGGGTTAGCTTACCTGCTTCAGCCTTAACAAACACCAGCCATGGTCTTCAAGGCTCCCCGTTTGAGTGGTAGTGGGCTTACGCTCCGCTACGCAACGATCACGGGAAGCATCCACAAAAATCATCAGAGACCTTACAAGAGCTCAAGAGAGGCTTTGCGCTCTGTGATCAATTGGGATGCTGACCCCCCCACCCCACCCCCCGACCAAAACCTGATGGTCCAAATCAATCAAATGTACGACTACTACGCTACTACTACTGCTGCTGCTGCTACTACTACTACGACTACTGCTACACTACTGCTACTACCAGTACTACTTCGACTTCTACTCCTACTACTTCTACAACCACTACTACTAGTACTAGTACTACTACTACTACTACCACTACTACTACTACCACTACTACTACTACTACTACTACTACTACTACTACTACTACTACTACTACTACTACTTCTACTACCACTACTACTACTACTACTACTACTACTACTACTGCTACTAGTACTACTACTACTACTACTACTACTACTACTACTACTACTACCACTACTACTACTACTACCACCACTACTACTAGTACTACTACTACTACTACGACTACTACTACCACTACTATTAGTATTACTACTAGTACTAGTACTACTACTACTACTACTGCTGCTGCTGCTGCTGCTGCTGCTGCTGCTGCTGCTACTACCACACTACTACTACCACTACTACTACTACTACTACTACTACTACTACTACTACTACTACTACTACTACTACTACTACTACCACTACTACTACTACTACCACCACTACTACTAGTACTAGTACTACTACTACTACCACTACTGCTACTACTACTACCACCACTACTACTAGTACTAGTACTACTACTACTACTACCACTACTACTACTACTACTACTACCACTATTACTACTACTACTACCACCACTACTACTAGTACTAGTACTAGTACTACTACTACTACTACTACTACTACAACTACTACTACTTCTACTACTACCACTACTACTACTACTACTACTGCTACTACCACCACCACCACTACCACCACTGCTACTACTACCACCACTACTGCTACTACAAACGCCCTAAATGCAAACCCCTGCCATCCCCCCAAAGCCCCATCAACCCATCCTCGGCTTCCTCTTCGTCCGAGTCCGACTCCGACAGCGCTGTGGCAGCCACCAGCTCCGCCAAGGCCTCCTCCGACACGGGGCGCACGTGGACGCGGAAGAGCAGGCGGTCAAAGAGCGCCTGGTCGAGGGCGGCGAAAAAAAAATGGCACCCAAGGGCCCAAAGGAAAAGGGCGGGGGATCAAAAAAAAAACTTGGATCCCTCATAAGTGTTTGATTGATCCCTAATAAGTATGTTGATTCCTAAGATGTTTTTTTTGGATGCCTATCCCAAAGGAAAAGAACTCTTTGAGACAATCTGCGGTTTAGGTTCCTTAGTTGGAGACAAACTGTGGCTCGGTGTGTTTTTGCGAATTTGGGGCCACCCAAAGCGCAAGGTGAAATGCACCTGTCCAAACGAACGAGCTCGTTTGGCGGACGCCAACCATCCTAGCCAACCCGTGTGCTGCGTCATTCAAAACCTTCGCAAATACAACTGTTGGTACAGGCTAGCAAGCAAACAAGTAACGCTCATACCTACATGGGTGTGTCTGTTTTTGAAGCTACCATTTCTTCTTGGGGTTCAATGAAAGGGCACCCGTTTGAGGGTTCTCCTAGTTTGAGACACACCTACACTTGTCTCAAGCTATCTCACAGGCTGAGAACTGCCGGCTGGTGCTAAAGTCGAGTGGACGAGGCATCTTGTGAGAACAAAGTCCTTCACTCTTTCGCCTGTGAGTAGTATGTACATGTGAGCACCAAAACGGCATAGCGAGTTGAAAATCGCACCATGGGCCCCAGAAGTTGCCAGATTTACATATGGATAGCAGGACAAAGAAGGTTGGTCTGACTTGCCGAGCTCTCTGCCTGCGTCTCGCAGAATACAACGCGTTCTCCGACACCAACCAATAAGCAGCAACAAAAAAAAGAACAAACTTGCAAAATACAGCAGTGCAAAACATAGAACGGGTGGATGGTCTCATCCCAGGAGCACCCTCCAAATGGACAGAGTACTGGGCAAAAAACAGAAAAAAAAGACTGAAAAAAAAAACGAAGAAATGAGCTAGGGGAATCACTAAATGCGGCTCAAAATGTGCTAGGGGAATCACTAAATGCGGCTCAAAATGTGCGCTTTCTTGGTCCCAACGTTTGTATGTGCTTCCCTGGGAAACCAACGGGTTTCTACGGCACATCTTTGGGGTGCAACTCTTGGACACCGCTCTCTCTGGCAGGAAGTTCGATGCAACTCTGTCCCCAAAGGTCGGTGGCTGGTTGATTTTTTTGATTCTCTTCCCTTGGCATGACCCCAGATGAATCAAGCTCAGTGAATCGGACAATTTGGCACGGTGTTCCCTTAAGTGGAATCTCTGATTCCGACCACGTCTTTCAACCAGGCACACCAGGACCCCTATTCACGCTATGTCATTCTAGCCCTTTTTTACACCAACCCAAAAAGGGTGACGGGAACCAAACGCGCCATTTCTCACCCAGGGCACAACCCCACTTCCGGGAGTTAGGACCCCGGCAAGAAAACCTCTTTTGTTTGCCTGATTCGCGGAAAACGAAAACAAAAAAGACCCCAAAAAAGCAAAACCAATTGCAGGGACCCCCCAAAAAATAAAAATAAAAAAACGTAAGGGAAACAAAAAAGTGTAAAGGGGAGCCACTTCTGGGGGAAGCCACGGGTTCCTTTTCGCCCACCTCCGGCCTGCAGCTCCTCGGACTCCGGGGCCTCATTGGAGGCCGCCACGAGGCTCCTCTGAGACGATCGACGTCCGTGCCAGGCGGAAGGGCTGACCATTTTGGGGGTTCCTATGGGACCATGTTGTGAGCTCACTAATTTTGTGGGCCAAAGAGCTGACCATTTTTGGGGGGGTTCGGCGGCGCATGCCCATGGGAAGAAGAGCTGGCCATTTTTCTGGGCTCGGCCATGGGCTGGGTGTGGGACGGAAATGCCTGAAGGCAACTCACGTGGTGGGGAAAACCCAGCCTTGTGATACCACCCTTTCCGCAACCATACCTTCGAACTACGAGCTGATGTTGCCCTGAAGGGTCGCTTCGGAGGGGGGAAGACCAACACCACAGGCCGTACGCTGCCATCGTGCAAGTTTGCGGCATTTGCAAGAGTTCACACAGGCCACACATATGAGTTTTATCGGCATTTGTGCAGCAAACTTGCCCTACTTGTCTCAACATATCCGCTGGCAAGATGAGGGGCGTGGGCAAGGGGGGTTCTGCCTGTTTTCGAGCTGGCCACGCATGCGCGCCGCACAAGCAAGGCCAGCTTGATTCTTCCAACCAAGCGCAGCAATCCCCCCCCCCCCACCCACCCAACATGTTGCAACCAACCCTAGAACCAACTGAGTCACGATCAAACCCCGGTATTAAAATGGTCTACCCAGAACCATGCTTCAAGAATTAAGAAGTCGAATATCCGCAACCATAACTCTGGCTGGGACTGCCCCACACTAACCTTCATCCCGAATCGGTTTTGAGCACGTGGCTCTGCACCTGTCCTCAAGGGCACGGGCACCTTGGTGGGCCCATTGTCGAAGGTCCGCTCGTTCACCACGGAGAGCAGCGTGTTGAGGATGGCCGAGTTCGCCTAACTCAGGCCAACGAATCTTGAGGAGAGAGCCCTGAGCAAGGCGAGCAATGCACACCACGACTATCAGCTTGGCTACCCTCCTAACATCAAAGCGCAAAAAGGCCCTTTCCAAGAGGAAAGTCGTCTTTCTACAGGTGTCTGTGCACTTCCATGTTGGTGGGAGGGTCATGCCAAGCTGCCTACATGGCGCCCGCGTCCGTTTTCCTCACGCTTGCTCAAACCCAGCAAATTCTTGATTGCGCCGCGCGCCGGGGAAGGGCCAGTGAAAGCATCTACAGGCCGAAGCAACAGACGAATCTGTGACCATAACTCACCCAGTGGCGCAAGAGTTGCAAGCCTCGGCTTACCGCATCTTTTGCATCCAAAAATATCCATGGCCCATACGTCCCCCAAAAAACGAAACTGAGCCCTCAGCTTCAAATAGGAGCTCGATTTGTGGCCGCGCTCCCTAAAGCAAAACCTGATCAAACTCCCGGGTGCCAACAACACTAACGAGCAATCATTCTGATTTGCTTTGCCATGTTTGTGATGTTTATGTTGCTCCTGCATTTGCTTGTTTGCTTCTTTGTTTCCTTTTTCTTTATTGGCTTGTTTGCTTGTGGGGTTGCTCACTTGCTTGCTTGTTGTTTGTTTGGTTGGGTTCTGCTTTGTTCCGTGTTGTTTTGTTGTGTTTGTGCTTGATTGTCCATTCGTGTGTTCATTTCTTTGTTGGTTTGTTTCTGTATATGAGTGTGTGTGTGTGTGTGCATGTATGCATGCATGTATGTATGTATGTACGTACGTACGTACGTGCCTATGTATGTATGTATGTATGTATGTATGTATGTATGTATGTATGTATGTATGTATGTATGTATGTATGTATGTATGTATGTAAGTACGTGCGTACGTACGTGCGTATGTACGTACGTATGTATGTATGTCTGTATGTATGTATGTATGTATGTATGTATGTATGTATGTATGTATGTATGTATGTATGTATGTATGTAAGCACGTATGTAAGCACGTATGTACGAACGTGTATGTACGTATGTACTACGCGCGTACGTATGAATGCATGCAGGCATGCATGTTTGCTTGTTTGCTTGTTTGCTTGTTTGCTTGTGTGCTTGTTTGCTTGTCCTTCCTTTCCTGCTGAATTAAATACTGTCCTTCTTCCTTTCCTTCTTTATTTCCTTCTTTATTTTCTTCTTTCCTTCCTTCCTTCCTTGCTTTCTTTCTTCCGTGCTGTCTTTCTTTCTTTCTTACTGTCTTCGATCTGTCATGTTATTTTCCGTTCTGTTATTTTCTTGTCTTTCTTTCTTTCTTTCTTTCTTTCTTTTCAGTTGTAACATGTCCTTTCTTGTTTGTTGTCTTTAGTTCTTTCTTTCTTTCTTTCTTTCTTTCTTTCTTTCTTTCTGTCTTTCTTTCTTTCTTTCTTTCTGTCTTTCTATATTTATGTGTTTATTTCTTTCTTTATTTCTTTCTTTATTTCCTTTCTTTCTTTCTTTCTGTCTGTTTCTTTTGGTCAGCCGGTCAGTCGGTCAATCAGTCAATTGGTTGGTCGGTTTGTCGATGCTTGCTCGCCCGGAATTCGCGCCTTGAAGATCTCGTCCACAAAGGCCAGGGACGCCTCGGGCAGGTACCCCGCCGTCTTCCGGACGTACTCGTCCTGTTCGCGCGCGCGCCGCGCGAGCCAAGGAAACATCCACGCGGATCCATTCTGCGATCCGAAAAAAGGGCGGCTCCACAAAGGACCGGGAGGCCAAAGGACCCACAAACTCACCGGGTTCGACGATTCAAAGGGCCAGCTGTAAGTTCCCAGGTCCCACACAGCCTGTTAACCTGGGCCGTTTCGGAGGCCAACTTGAAGTATCTGATCTGGGATTCAACGTTTCGTTGCTCAAGTCAAAGGGTGAGAACATGTCCATGGTCCTCACCCTCGGTTAAGGAACACCCGACAAACCCACTCCATCGCTGGTCAGACACCGAATGTGGCGGGTTGCAGGTCGGGCAGAAAACCTCCGTCTCTGCTTCAAAATGCCCCCAACTACCCGCCGAACCCTCTAAATGATGTGCTTTTTTGCGCATCAGCTGCAAAAATGCCACCGTCAGACTTTGGGCTGTGCTGTTTCAAGAGCCAGACTTTGGCGGGGGGAAGCTTGAAAGCGCACTGCCCCTTGCCAAACATTCCAAGAACTCCAATGAATCTTGCCGGTGATCTGATCTGTTTCGCTGTGAGTCTTGTTGCTTGGGAGCCATAGACTTCAGTTGTGAAAACCAACTATTTTCGTCCCTAGGTTTGTATGACGTCTTCGGCCTGGGCACACTTTCTCGTCCCGCCCCATCCAAAAACTAAAACACGTACTAGCAGTTGCTCATGCAGAATCACTCTCCCGCCCACAAAACCACGTTGCTCTCCAAAAAAACTGACTTCGAAACTCACCCAACCATGTGAGCATCCATTGACCAATGACTGCCAATCTGACAATCAAGAAGGTGTTTAGCAAATCTCAGAAAAAAAGAAAGAAAACAAAAACATGAAACCAGGTAGGATCTCAAATATCTACTGGGGGGTTTTGCTCGCTGCTCAGGTTGGTTGGAAGGTAGCTTCCAGGCCTGAGAAGACCCGCTCGCTGTTCATGCAAGGCCGTAACGGGGACCGATCCTTGCTTCAGGTTGGGAGTTTCCGCAACCCTCACAAAGAACCAAAGGGCACATCAAAAGAGGCATGACAAGGCTGAGTGCCCGTCTATGACTCTGTCGCAATGCCCATCCCGCCTCGGTGCATGTTTGAAGCCGCTGTTGCAAAACAACCGCCGGTGGACTTCCGGCAAAAAAAAAGGACAAAGGGCACCAGGGTTCCAGCAGTGTTGCAACCCGACTGATTTTCTTGGTTGACGTTGGCAGGGGAGCAACAAAAATGTTTTTAGCAGTGAAGGGGTTGCAGCAGTGTTGCCCGACCGATTCCTTGGTTGACGTTGGAAGGGGAGCAAACAAATCTGTTTTTTAGCAGTGAAGTGGCTGGATTTCAACCACTAAACCACAACAAGCACAAATGCAAAATGTGTCCCAACAACAACCATGATTCACGCTAAACCATGCTTCAACAACCGCCGGTTGACTTCGGTGTTACACCCCGACCCATTCACCCCATTCACCCCATCGGTCCTCCTCCAGGCCCTTCAAAGACAGCGGCCCAAAGAGCTCCTCTGGCACCGAGAAGCGCGTCAGCAGCCGCTCCTTGGAGAGACGCCAGGCACAGGTGGCCGTTTGGAAGAATAGATGGCCCTACATGGAATAAACCCCATCTAAACCAGTGCCACCCAGTGCCATCTACGTTTCACCAAACTACCCTAAAAAGGACACCTATGCCCACAGGGCGCAAAATCAGCAGGCGATCAGGCAACCGCCCGGGTACCCATTTGTGGGCACCAGGAAAACCAGAAATTCCCAGGGGGTTGTCTCGAAATAGGTGTGGACAGCCAAAAATAAGAACAGAGGTGGAGCTCCTTGCAAAAAACATATAAAAGGGACCGGGCTCAGAGCATCTTTGTGAGGCTACCTTTCCCAAAGAGCAACAAAGGGACCTGAAACCAGGAATCCCCTACAAACCTTCATCTGCCCATATTTGAGAACGCTCGAAAAGGCAGTTTCTCTATCTTTCCCCTTACCCGAAGCACGCACTTGCAGAGGACGTTTTAAAACTGTAGGGAATCCCCCGCCTTTACGGGTGATAATGAAGTTGGATCCCTCCAAGAAGGTCCGGAAACCACTTTTTTCAAAAGCTCCCCAAAGATCACGGGGGAAACTTGGCGGTTGTCCGTGTCACCCAAAAAAAGGGTTCAATCATGGGATGGCCTACTTTTAGGGTGAATGACGGGCCACTTTCAGAGGTTGCTGAATGAAGCAAAACAAAAAGGCAGCTGTACAAACTTGATGCCTGCGGATATTTTGTCTGCGTCACCGCGGCTTCGGGCTATAAGCTTCAATGCAGCACCCCCCCACCCCCCCAAAACAAAAAGAGCTTAACGGTTCTCCGGGGACCTAAAAATGGGGTACCAACTCAAAAGGACGCGCCGCCCTTTTCCCGACGTCCTACACAAAGACGGGTGCCTTGTTTTTGAGGCACTCAAAGTGGGTTCGGTTTCCCTTTGGTTTCCCTTTAGGCACCATCCCCAAACGGGTACCCTTAAAAACAGACCTCTCCCCCACTTGTACATGGCTTCATTTGCAATAGGCTGGTTCGCAAGACACACACACACACACCCTACAGCGGACGGACGAAATCCTGCACCATGGTGAAATGATAGCGTTTGCTGGTATTTTGAGGGGAAATCGAATCATTCCGTTGGGTTTCCTGGGCACGGTGCTGCCCGAAATCCGGATTTCGCTCAAACCATCCACACTACGTCAGGTGCGGCTCAAAAAAACAAAATCAGGCTTCCATTGACCCCAAATTGACTAGGTCCTCCAAATTTGAGAGCCTTAGAATAAGCACCGATCCTTTTTTCCTGTCTTGTCGATTTTAATAGGGGAACCCTCCCCAAGGGCTTCAAAAGCGCCCCAATTGCTGGACCTTGTTGAGCCACACCCAAAGCCCGCAGACCCGGCGAGGCGCGAAGAAGGTGGCCGTCGGCCCCAGGAAGCGGCTGATGCGCCGCGCCAGCAGGCCTCTCTCGGCGCGCGCGCGCGGGCGGCGTGCGCGGCTTGCGCGCTTGGTCTCTAAGGAAGCAGAAGGAAACCCGAACAAAAAGCAAGGAAGCTTACCCCAAGCCAAGAGAAGCCTAAGGAAACCCTTAAAAGAGAGCCCCAAAAAGCCAAGGAGGGCTTACCCCAAGCCAAGGGAAGCCTAAGGAAAACCCTTACAAAAAGAGAGCCTGCCCAAAAAGCCAACAAGGAGGTAGTTAGTTTGAATGTGCATCCGCTCTTTTTCATCGAATCTTCGCACATGTCGGGCGGTTGGCAAATTGGCACTGAGCCCTGATTCATTCATGTGTGACTGGCAGGCCGTGTCTGCCCATACTGCAACCACTCACATAATTCGGCGAACTGCTGCAGGAATTGTGCCGTGATTTCTGCAGAGACGCCGAAAATTCTGAATCACCAGAAAAATTGATTAACATCGTGCCACACAAAAAGTTTGCTCCGCCACAGCCGTCGCTTGTGCGGGCCCCTGTCAGTCTTCCAGAAAGCCGCCTCCTTTGGAATCCACGTTCCGGGCAAAATGCAGTGGACCAATTCATCAATGACCATTCTTGTAGGCCCTGATTTAAAGTACGACATCCATGTGGACGGGGGGTTCCCTGACGGAATTTCCTCCACATCCACATCCTGAAACAGCTGCCAGACTACAATACCTCTTCCTTTACCGGCAAATTTAGAATACTGGGATGACTCTGCGGTCACCATCCTGGTTTGCAGTGCGGGCCAGGCCCTAAATAGCTCCTCCCGCATGACCTCAAACGTTGCGCGCATTAGTTGCATAATGACACAATGGGTTTCCTTGGTCATGGTCGGGCGGCTAAAGTTGGGGTCGCGTGCAACCCCGGCAGGCAATTCTGCCTCAAAGTGCGCCAGATTTTTGGGCTTTGCCCTTGCCACAGTGGCAGGTTCGGCAGGTTCGGCAGGTTCGGCAGCGTCATGATACTTCTGACGGTGCACTTCTGCGTTAAGTCGATGCTCGACCGATTCTGCGTCCACATCTGGCAGGCTAGCAAACCCCGCAAACTGATCTGAGGCTGCTTCGATCTGGCTGGAATAGTAGTCGTCCGGATCCCAATCCGGCTGTGACTCCAAGTCCTCGTCCACGATAGCATCCAAGTCTGACAATTCATTGTCAGAGTCTTTCTTTGGAGGCTGTAACACTGGCCGTTCCAGTGGCAGGTTTTGCCACTCCAGTCCGCAATGCCTCCTTGCTCTTGACTTTGAGTCTCTTATTGTGACTCTGAATCATGATGAACTCGTCTTCAGTCGGCTGTGGCTGAGGCTGCTCCGGCTTGACGTGCCATCGACGTAGCATTGGCCCGTGCAACAAATCAGTCCCACAGTTGGGACATGTTGCGCAGTGCGAATTGATGCTGCTTTCAAATCCCTGCAAGTTGCAATTTGAGCAATGGAAACTTCGCTCAAAGTTCAAAGGCTCAGTAGGGCCGGCAGCGGAGCTGCTGGCCACATTTGGGGCGGAGCAGGTTGGCCCCCTTTTCATCTGAAGGAGTGAGCACCTCCACTTGTTTTGGAGACTAGGGATGGTCCTGAACCCAAAAGATCTTCAGATGCCCACAGAGCCGGACTTCTGACCATGACCGCTTCGGTGGTCGGCATTCCCTGCAATTCCGGGCCGCTCAAACGTGAGATTCGGACTCCCTAAAAACCGGGGTAGGCCTCCCTTCCTGTAGCTCCATATGAATGAACCCAAGACATGTGTGGGGAGAAACAAACTCCCCGTAGGGGACCATTAAAACTCCATGTTCTGGCGAGCACTGCCACTGGCCATAGAAATCATTTATTTGGTTTTTGGGACTTTGCCAGAATGGGAAGAAATTTATTTTTTGGAGGCACACCATGTTACCAGGCTTCTAAAAAGTTTTGCGCCTCCACTGTGCTTCAAGAACAAAGGCTTGAGGTTTGCCAACCAAACGGGTAGTAAGTGTGTGTGTGTTGTGGTTTTGTCTTCTGATGATCTTACTGGTTGCCAGCATTCCAAGAAAGAGATTGTTCAGTGCCACCAAGCAAAACACCTATGTCGCAACGCAACTCAGAAAAATGAGCACAACCGCAAACTCTGAACAACACCATTCGTCACCATTCACAAGTTGCCAGTATGGCCGGCAAACCCACTTGGCGGAAATGTCAAGCATGCATGACGCGTAGATATCTTCATCTGTCCTTCTTTTGCTTTTTTCTTTCGTTTCTCACTTTCTTTCTTTCTTTCTTTCTTTCTTTCTTTCTTTCCTTTCTTTCTTTCTTTCTTTTCAGTTATTGTCGTTTCTTTTCTTTTATCGTCTTTCTTTTCTTTCTTTCCTTTTTCCTTTTTCTTTCTTTCTTTATTTCTTTCGTTGGTTCTTTCTTTCTATCTTTTTTTCGCTTATGTCTGTCTTTATTGTCTTCTTTATTTCTTTCTTTCTTCATTTCTGTCTTTCTTTCTTCCCTTCTTTCTTTCTTTCTTTCTTTCTTTCTTTCTTTCTTTCTGCTTTTCTTTCTTTCTTTCTTTCTGTCTTTCTTTCTTTATGTCTTTATTTCTTTCTTTCTTTCTTTCTATCTTTCTTTCGCTTATTTCTTTCTTCTTTTTTCTTTATTTCTTTCTTTCTTCATGTCTGTCTTTCTTTCTTTATTTATTTCTTTCTTTCTTTCTTTCTTTCTTTCTTTCTTTCTTTCTTTCTTTCTTTCTTTCTTTCTTTCTTTCTTTCTTTCTTTCTTGTCTTCTTTCTTTTCTTCCTTTTCTGTCTTTTGCTTCTTGTCTTTCTTTTCTTTCTTTTCTTTCTTTTCCTTCTTTCCTTCTTTCCTTTCTCTCTCTCTCTCTCTCTCTTTCTTTCTTTCTTGTTTTCCTTCTTTCTTTCTTTCTTTCCTTCTTTCTTTCTTTCCTTCTTTCTTTCTTTCTTTCTTTCTATGCTTCCTTCCTTCATTCTTTCTTTCTTTTCTTCTCTGTCTCTGTCTGTCTCTCTCTCTCTCTTCACTTTTTCTTGCTCTTGCGGTTTATGGTTTCGCTTGCTCTTGGTCTTGCTCCTGCTGCTTGTCTTTGTCCGTCTCTTTCTCTTTCTCTTTCTCGTTATCTGTTTTGGTTTTTGTTCATCGATTTATCATGTCCTTTCGCCTTCTCTTTTTCCTTCTCTTTCGCCGTGCCTTCTTCATCTTTCTCTTTTGCTTTCTCTCGTCTTTACCTTTCTCTTTCTCTTTCTCTTTCGCCTTCTCTTGTTTTGTTCTTGCTTTTCTTTCCGCGTCTCTTTATCTTTCTCTTCTCTCTCTTTCTCTTTTGTTTTCAGTTCTCTTTCCTTTTCGCCCCTTCTAATTCTCAACCTCAATCTCTTCCTCGCGTTCTCTCTTTTTCTCTTCCTCTCTTTGTCTCTTGCTATCTTTCTCTCTTTGTTTCTATTTACATACCTACCTACCTGACTCTCCGTCTAGCAGTCTATCTAACTAGCGGTTCGATAATCTGTCTATCTATCAACCTCGCTTTCTTCCTCTCTATCTATCTATCCATCCACCTAACTATGTCTATCACTCAAACTCTCTTCCCTCTATCTCGCTACCTCTCTGCCTCTCCATCTCTCTATGCCTCCGTATCTCGATGTCTCTCTGTCTATGTATCCCTTTATCTCTCTGTACCTCTAGCTCTCTATCTCTCTATCTATCTTCTTCCTTTCTTTTTGCCCTTTGCATCTCTCTATCTAGCTAGCTATCTCACCTATCCTATCTACCTTTCATCCGTTTATCTAATCTGCCTATCCTTTCTTTCTACCCGTCTGTCTGTCTATCCAGCAATCAGGCTAACCGTCTTCGTTATCTATCTATTGTTTATCCATCTGGCTAGCAGTTTTCCATCCATGAACACATCCACCAACCAATGTGGCTAATTTGCCTATCATCTACCTGCCCCCCTCTATCGTACCTTTCTGTCCATCTGTCTATCTATATATACATGAAACTCTTTCAACTTCTGCCTAGCTATCTAGCTGTCTATCTATCAACATACCTGTCTGTTTTTGAACTATCTATCCATCTTTCTTCCCATATTTCGGTTTATCTATGTAAATACCTGTCTGTCTATGCAACTATCTATCGATCTATCTTTTCTATCTGTCTATCTGTTTATCTATCCTCTCTATTTATATATCTATTCTCATCTATCCATCTATCTGTGTATCTATCTGTCTATCTATCTCTCTATCTATCTTTGTTTCTTTCTTTCTTTCTTGCTTTCCAGCTGTTGACCTGTCTTTTTACCCTCTGTCTATCTACCTATCTATCCGTCAATTTAGTTGAAAGCGCCGCGGATGCCAGGAAACCCAAACCTGACCTTGCGAGAGTGCTGTGCCTGCAAAGAACTTTGCGCTTGACCTTGCGAACGCGCTGCGCCTGCCACCCACCCTTTCTGTCTGCGCTTGCACGTCCACGCCAGCATTGCCAAAATTATCCGCCTGTCACGCAAACTGCGCCTGAGTCTGCGACAGCGACGCACTTGCCACGAAGCCTACACCTGAGGCTGACAAAGTGGTGCGCCTGCCACGCAGCCTGATCGCCAATTCAACAACGCGCTGCGCCTGCCACGCAATCTGTGCCTCGGAGCTACGCCTGTAACACAAACTGACGTCACGAAGAGAGCGCGCGCTCCGGTACCGTCCGAAAACAGGCATCGCGACCGAGGTAGCTTTGAGACCGCCGTCGCCGGCAAAACCCGCAGAAGGTCACTCTTTTTCGCGATTTCTATTCCGTCGTGCACGCCCACGCATTTTTACGCATGTGGTCAGTCTTCTTCCTCTCATCTGTGCGCAAGACTGCTTTTCACTTAGTGTCTGTAACACTGAAGTTCCGTCTAAACATTGATTGATTGATCGATTGATTGCTTGCTTGCTTGATTCATCGATCGATCGATCGATCGATTGACTGATTGATGGATTGATGGATTGATGGATTGATGGATCGATAGATTGATGGATTGATGGATTGATGGATTGATGGATTGATGGATGGATTGATGGATTGATGGATTGATTGATTGATTGATTGCTTGCTTGCTTGCTTGCTTGCTTGCTTGCTTGCTTGATTGATTGATTGATTGATTGATTGATTGATTGATTGATTGATTGATTGATTGATTGATTGATTGATTGATTGATTGATTGATTGATTGATTGACCCATTGATTGGTTGACCGATTTGATTGGTTGATGGATTGACTGATTGACTGATTGTTTGTTGGTTTGTTTCCTTACTTGCTTGGAAGCTTGTTTGCGTGGTTGATTTGCTTGTGTTTGTGTTTGTTTGTTTGTTTGTCTGTTTGTGTGTGTGTGTGTGTCTGTGTGCTTTGGTTTCTTGTTCGTTTGGTTGATTGATAGATTGATTGGTTGGTTGATTGATTGATTGACTGAATGACTGATGGTTTGTTGGTTTGTTTGCTTGTTTGCTTGCTTGTGTGCGTGTGTGTTTGTGTTTTTGTGCCTGTGTCCACAATAAACGGACTGACTTCGTGGCACCGAGCCTCACCGAGCCGAGCAGCTCTTCGCAGTGCCTGGGGGGCCCAGCAGCAGCACGTGCTCGCCGCAGAAGGCCGCCAGGAGCAGCAGACGGACCTCTGCGGAGCGCTCCACCAGGCCCACCTGTGGCTTCGGAGCTTCGGGCTTGGTCCGGCGGATGTCTGGGCCGTGCAACTTGTTGGGCAAATGCCGGCAAATGCTGGTAGAAACTGTGAGTTGCTTCTGGTAGTGAGGTACTCATCAAAGCTTGCAGCAAATCAGGCTCTGGAAGGGGATAGCTGATACACATTCTGACCGACGGAAAGCCGTTGGAAGCGCCTCTGACCTCAAACGAAGGACCACTGGGCCATTTGTACCGAAAAATACTAAAGCCGAGCTTCAAGCACAAAGAATGCCAGGCCTTTCGCAACGCCTTCTGGTGGCCTGTGTTTTTTCACGCAAGATCCTTCGTTCCCTCCTATGGGTTGCTCCCCGTGCAGAAGAGTACACACTTTTTGACCTGGAGGGAATTTCAAGGGTCTGTCTGTTTTGAGGGCACCCTTGTTTTCTGCCTTTGAAAGGCAAACCAAGAGGCAAAACCACCGGGTGGAACCCCAATGTTCAGACACGCCAAGGGACCCACTGACCTGAAAACTCCTGCGGGTAGCGTCCGAGCCACCCCTCCCGGTCTTCGGGGCCAGGCCTCCAACTGCTCGGCCGCCTGGCGGATGCTCTGCGCCAGGGCCGAGCTCGGACTCGGCGACGTTCGGCCTTCGGCGCGGGACCTTAGCGCGAGTATGGGCCACCGGTCCATGTGGGGAGTTGGTGCAGGGTTCCGTTTTTCGACTACCCCAAACTCGACTTAAGTCCCGTGGTTGATTTCCCCCAAAGCGAAACCCCTGGGTTTAAGTCGACCTTGGGGTAGTCAAAAAACGGAACCCTGAGTTGGTGGACTTGGGAACCCCGAGTGGGTCGGGTTTTCGGAGATTCAAGAAACCCGGCTGGTGTAAAAGTTTGGTAAATCAAGGTCCATGTCTTTGGCTGATGGCAATTCCTTGGCGAGATCCATGCTCGTGAGGGGGTCCAGGCGGCTGCTTTCTGTGACACCAAAGTGGTTGCTTCGCCAGCCCATGACTAATTTATCACAACAAGCAGGGAACTCTCCCAAGAGTTGGACTACAGAAGCTGGGGCATTTTCACCCACCACCACGCCTCACGGAACTACCCCGTGGACAAAGGTGACATCTCAACATGAGGTGCCCCGAGACTGTGGAAGATGCCGAACATGAAATGGCCCAAAATGGTACCAATGGTTTTGACCCACAGCGAAATCAATGGATGGCAGTCCGAGTGTACACAAGGCTTGGGAGTTTCCCAACAAACCCCTCAGTTTCAAACGCAGCAAATGAGCCTTTGGAAGAAGCTTTCCGCAAGAACACCTTCCCTGAGAACCAGTAAGAACGGTGCCACAGAACAGCGAGAAACTCAGGGAACTGCTTGGCTTCCAAACAGAAAAAGGGTGCAGCGGAATGTCAAGAATCCCAGGCTCCTTTGGCCCTTGGCCGTATGCGCCTGAAGCTTATGGACCCCCAACCCAGCAGGAAATTTTCTGAGGAAACCCAAAAAAGGGACGTCTAAAAACAAAGCGCCACCGGGTTGGACCCAAGAATTCCCAACCCACAATCCGCGGGACACCACCAGGGAAACCCTACCATCTGGGATAAGGATTTAGCATGTTGAACAATCCAGACTCACGGCAAGACGACAGACGCAGAACAAAGGATCAACAACAAAGGGCTTAAACATAATGGTTGCCATTTTAAAAGGCTAGGTGTGGATATACCCGCGGACTAAAAATGTACTGGCCCGCCGCAATGGTTCTCACATCAGGTTTGCTCAAAGCAAGAAAGGATAGAACTTGTGGGGAAAGCCTGGATTGACACTGGCAGACATGTCGAATGGGAAACAACAAGTACCACCAGCGCTATCTACCTGATTTGGACAAAGCCCAGGCTTCCTAAATGGCTGTGGGTCAAAATCAATGGGATCCCATTTTGGGGTAGGTGCACCACCGATTTTAGGCTTTATTTTAGTGGGGATTGGGATGCTCACGGGATTTTGACCCACCAAATACCCCCTGCCAACCGACCCAAAAACAAACACATCACAGAGCCGTGGGAAAGACGAGCAGCTTGGGAAAACGCCATGGAAAGCGACCTTACGTCGGACAAATCGAAGGGAAAAACACCGTGATGGTGCAAAGGCAGGCGCGTTAAACATGCGAAACACAGCGACATCCTGCCCATGCCCTTTCAGTAGGTGATGCGTCTCCCTGATTATCGATAAACCCGAACCCGGGTGGCAAAAACCTGCATGCTTCCCCGCCCAGCGCCAAAAGGATTACAAAACGAGAGATCAAAAAAGACAAAACCAACAATGTATGCCCCTCCCCACCAAAGCTCCTTGCAGAACCAAACAAAGAAAACAAACACGGACTTGTCAACTAGGCTCCCGAACCCCTATTTCGTCTGGTGTCCCTTCAAACCAACCCCAGAAACGGTACCTCCAACACAAGACACGTCCCTCAACCCAAACCATCAAACCCCACCCCCCCGCACCCCAGTCAAACTGGGTACATCATGAAGAACCAAAGAAAAAACAAATGCAAAGCATGCAAGCCACACAACTGACCGCAGTTTCCTGTTTCCGCTGGAACTACTCAGCTTGGTTGAACCATCCAAGCACCTCCTTTCCTGCAAATGCAACCCTTCAGGTCTCCCCCTCTCCAAAAACCAACAGGTGCCAAAAAGGGGTCCTACAGTGGGTGGACAAAATCCTACACGCACTAGGAAGTGGCTTCCCCAGAATTGTCCGCAATTCACTGAGGTTTCTCATGAATTCATCCATCCCAACTGGTGCAGGATTTTGTCCATCCACAGTACCATTCTAGGGCTACCTTCCCCAGTCTTTCCAGGGATCCTTCTTTTCAGGAAACCATCAAAAACTCTGGGAAACAACTGGTTTTTGAAAAGAACGAGAATGGTTGGAATCAAAAACCCAGGAAACAGCTGGTTTTTGAAAAGAACGAGAATGGTTTGGAATCAAAAACCCAGGGAAACAGATCCGGTTTTTGAAAAGAACGAGAATGGTTTGGAATCAAAAACCCAGGGAAACAGCTGGTTTTTGAAAAGAACGAGCATGGTTTGGAATCAAAAACCCAGGGAAACAGATCCGGTTTTTGAAAAGAACGAGAATGGTTTGGAATCAAAAACCCAGGGAAACAGATCCGGTTTTTGAAAAGAACGAGAATGGTTTGGAATCAAAAACCCAGGGAAACAGATCCGGTTTTTGAAAAGAACGAGAATGGTTTGGAATCAAAAACCCAGGGAAACAGCTGGTTTTTGAAAAGAACGAGAATGGTTTGGAATCAAAAACCCAGGGAAACAGATCCGGTTTTTGAAAAGAACGATGGTTGAAAAGAATGGAAAGGCAATCAACCCCTGGCATCGTGGTCGATGCCTCTCGACCCCGGTTCCAGTCAAATTGGCAGCTCCTCCTGCGCCAGCTGATCGATGCGAACCAGATCCGTCCGAACCTGAAGTTGGTGGCTCACAGCTCTGGGTCTTTGATGTGATGTGGCCAAGCTCTGGTTATTTTGCGGCATGGCCCATGTTCCCGTTGGAAGGGTTCAAATCGCCAAACCACAGATCCAGACCAGCAATGCAGCCACATCTGCTCCTCTCTTCTGGGATTCTGGGGTTTTGTAGGTTGCCTTTCTGGAGGTGTTAAGCGAAACCAACATACCCATCCGTTCAACTCCAACGCGTGCGTGCGTGCGTGCGTGCGTGCGTGCGTGCGTGGTTGGTTGGTGCGTGCGTGCGTGCGTGGTTGGTGGGTGGGTGGGTGGGTGGGTGGGTGAGTGGGTGGGTGGGTGGGTGGGTGGCTGGCACTTTTGCCGGCAAAACCGGCCCCAGATTTAGTCAAGAACCCTTAGAATGTACTGGGGGCGAATATGGGGTCCCTGGAAGAAAGCAAAAAGATACAGCACCCACTCCCTTTTGGTCTCCTTGAGGAAAATTCAAAGTGCACACTCTGTGTAAGACGATGTTAGGACCATTCTTAGTGGGAAACTCACTTGCACACTTGGCTGGGATGGCACAGCTAGATTCTCCCATGAATCTCGGTACAAAAGTCAACTGGTATGGTAGACCTGACGCAAAGCCGAGCCACAGGAACTTGCAGCATTCCACTTGTCTATTGAGAGGTCGACCGGTCCGCCTCGTCCGCCTCGCCCGCCCCGACGGCCGCTCTGCCAAAGCCGCCTCCGGACCGCGCCCTGCAAGTGATCATGGCCCCCCGGACTTCCGTGAGCTTTCTAGAAATCTGGGTGAATTACAATATTTGACCGACCTGATTCTTGCGGCTATTCCCCACATAAACCACCATTTGGGGGTAATTCACCCAGTGAAATCCGAGAAGAAGAAACGAGGACACTAAAACCGGGCCGAACAAAAGAACGAGAGTTGTTCAACCCCCCTCACCGCCCAGCTGATCGAGAGAAGCTTCCTGGCCCGGGACTCCTCCAAGGAAACTCGCTCGCTGAAAATTTGGGCAGGGCGATGCCGATATCCCAGTTGGACTCCGGGGAACCCTGTGGGAGCCCCAAAGATGCTTTTCTCCTTTCAACCACAAGGTTCTGGTTTTTTGCCTTCGACTAGGGAGCCAAAATGGCGGTGGTCCTTTCGGCTTCCCTCCGAACCAACGGACAAAACGGGGTACCCCCGAAAGAAAAAGAAAAAAAAAAAAAAAAAAAACGACACACCAACGCATCCAGCGGGCCTGCCACACGCCGCTATCGCGAAGACAACGCTCGAGCGACGCCTTGATCCCAAGCAAAATCCCCTCCAAGGCTCAGTTTCGGTCGAGTGGATTGGCCAAAAACGGTCTGGGCTGTTTGTTCGCCAGCCCTTCGGGGCAAAAGCGCGTCCTGAAAGTGTGGAACATGCCGGAAGATGTGTCAGAGGTTCACATCAAAGCTTCAAAGTGCTTGTCTGTTTCGCTCTGGAATAAGTTCTTATATGACAACTCAACCCAAAAGTAAGGGGCCGCGGCCCTTCTTGAGATCACCAGTCACCACGTGAGGCCACGTGAGCAAAGGAAAAAGGGGCCTGAGGCTTCCGAGGAGAGAACCCGTGAACACCAGAGAAGCAAGGACACCTCACATTGTTTTTCTTGCTCAATGATGGAAAAGAGCCACCCTTTTGCATGGAGCAAAAAACCGAGGTGGAACCCTGCGAATGACTTGCAAAATTTACATGCCACTCCGCAAGTTCGCCCCAAGGCCGAAAAAGAATCTCACCATTCTTCCAGCGAGCTGCCGGCTTTGCGGCGAACAGCAGCGCGCCGGGGCTTTCGGCAAATGCGGCGCGAAGGCAGCGAGAGCGGCATTCGCTCGCGCGGGGGGCACATTGCCCGGTGAAGTGTCCATTCCCTGTCCCCCTTCAAGCGCCTTGCTTTCGGATCTTTCTTGTAATTCATCAAGCGGACTGGTTTTGATACCACAACAAACTGGAACTAGACTGTGCAGGGGTTGGCCACTGCCACTTCAAACACAAGCAGAAGTTCCTTGCAGCTTGGCTTTGCGAAGGGAAACACCTTGCTTTGCCTCACGCAAACAAGCAAAATCACCGCGCTCGCTCGAATAGCTTCAGGTTCTCCAAATGGCTCGCCAATCGCCAAGCCTGAGCACCCAGCCAACTTGTTTGTTCCAGACCACGACCGGAGTGCCTCTGCTTAGAAAGGAGAAAGCCAAGTGAAGCCTGACTGCCTCTGTTGGGCCGAGGAGCTCCATAATTTCCATGGTTGCAGACTCTGAATTGCGGACTCGAGGGACGCAATTGAGTTACCTGACAACCTTTGTCCAGCCATTTAGCAAACTCACGGGATGAAGTTGACCCAACCAAGAAACGGGAACCCTGCCACATGAACTCTGGGACATTCTCTGGAGTATCTTCGCGGATCCCTGTGTAAGATACAGCTATTCGGCTTGAGGCTGACAAAACTAGACAGACCACCGTGTTGGCCAATGGACGCAACCAACTTCCCAATGTGCCCTGGTTACACCTGGGTCCGGGGCATTACCGTTCGCAGGTAAAAAGCGTGTTCTTTCTCGACACTTGGAACTCCCTGGAACGAGGTCACGGGTTTTTGAAAGGAACGGGAAGTCACCTCTCGGGTCTTTCCAAAACCGCTGCGTGCAGGTGCTCTGAATGGGGCAACTCTTCGTCCGCTTTCAGATTGACGTGTCATGTTTGTTGGTGACTTTCCTCTTGGCTTCGCTCCAACATTCCAAACAAAGGTCGAAGAATCTGCAAAAAATACAGACCTCGCTGCGGCTGTCCCATAGCCATGGACCCACCCACTTCATGGAGCAACGTCATGCATGACATGCCTCGTGGCAATCGCTGTTTTGTTGTCGTTTGCCTTGTCATTGTCATTGTCATTGTCGTTGTCGCTGTCGTTGTCGATATCGTTGTCGTTGGCGCTATCGTTGTTGTTTCCCGTTGTCGTTGTCGTTGTCGTTATAGTTGTCATTGCCGTTGTCGTTGTCGTTTATGTTGGTGTTGTTGTTGTTCTTTTTGTTGTTGCTGCTGCTGTTCTTGCTGGTGTTGCTGTTGTTGCTGTTTTTGCTGTTGTTGCTGTTGCTGATGTTGTTGGTGCTCTGGTTGTTGTTGCGGTTATGGATGTTGTTGCGGTTGTGGCTGTTATTGTTCTTGTTCTTGTTCTTGTTGTTGTTCCCATTCGTGCCATTCGCCACCGTGGAATGTTTGCTATTTCTTCAAAGCACACCCGTTCACGCGCACCCGCTCAGCACTGCACGCATGCCAGGCAAATGGTAATAACACCCGCTCACGCGCACCCGCTCAGCACTGCACACATGCCAGCCAAATGGTAAGAACACCCCTTCAAGTGCACCCGCTCAGCACTGCACACATGCCAGGCAAATGGTAAGAACACCCGCTTACGCGCACCTGCTCAGCACTGCAGACATGCCAGCCAAATGGTAAAAACACCCGCTCACGCGCACCCGCTCAGCACTGCAGACATGCCAGCCAAATGGTAAGAACACTCGTCCACGCGCGCTCGCTCAGCACTGCACACATGCCAGGCAAATGGTAAGAACACATGCTCACGCGCACCCGCTCAGCACTCCACACATGCCAGCCAAATGGTAAGAACACCCGCTCACGCGCGCCCGCTCAGCACTGCACACATGCCAGGCAAATGGTAATAACACCCGCTCACGCGAACCCGCTCAGCACTGCACACATGCCAGCCAAATGGTAAGAACACCCGTTCACGCGCACCCGCTCAGCAATGCACACGTGCCAGGCAAATGGTAGGAACACCCGTCCACGCGCGCCCGCTCAGCACTGCACACATGCCACGCAAATGGCAAGAATACCCGCTCAAGCGCACCCGCTCAGCACTGCAGACATGCCAGCCAAATGGTAAGAACACCCGTCCACGCGCGCCCGCTCAGCACTGCACACATGCCAGGCAAATAGTAAGAACACCCGCTCACGAGCACCCGCTCAGCACTGCACACATGCCAGCCAAATGGTCAGAACACCCGCTCACGCGCGCCCGCTCAGCACTGCACACATGCCAGGCAACCGCTCAGCACCGCACACATGCCAGCCAAATGGTAAAAACACCCGCTCACGCGCACCCGCTCAGCACTGCAGACATGCCAGCCAAATGGTAAGAACACTCGTCCACGCGCTCCCGCTCAGCACTGCACACATGCCAGCCAAATGGTAAGAACACCCGCTCACGCGCGCCCGCTCAGCACTGCACACATGCCAGCCAAATGGTAAAAACACCCGCTCACGCGCACCCGCTTAGCACTGCACACATGCCAGCCAAATGGTAAGAACACCCGCTCACGCGCGAGAAGTGCTTGGTAAAGGTCTTGTGGGCAAAGTGACAGGCTGCTGCCTCGGAGAAAAACAAGCGCTTTCAGCCATAACCCTCTTCAAAACCGGACTTATTGAAAAAAGCAAAGTTTGACAGTTCTGCGTTTTGCAAACAAGGGCCTTGGAAAACGCGCCGCCTTCCACGGCGGCGAGGGACGCGGATGCCTTGTTGTTGGTGTTGGTGATCGTGTTGGTATTGGTCTTGCGTTCGCTGCCGTTGCTCTTGCTGTTGCTGTTGGTGCCGCTGTTGCCGTTGTTGTTGCTATTGCCGTCGTCGTTATCGTTGTCGTTGTCGTTGTCGGTCTTGGTGTCGTTGCCGTTGTCATTGATGGTAGTGATGTTGTTGTTGCTGTTGTTGTTGGTTGTTGGTTGTTGGTTGTTGGTTGTGAGTTGTTGGCTGTTCAGTGTTGGTTGTTGGTTGTTGTTAGTGTTGGTGGTTGTGGTGTTGTGGTTGTTGCGGTTGTTGTGGTTGTTGCGGTTGCTGTGGCTGTTGCAGTTGCTGGTTGTTGCGGTTCTGGCGGTTGCTGTGGTCGTTGCAGTTGTTGCGGTTCTTGCGGTTGTTGCGGTTGTTGTTGTTGCTGCGACTGTTATGGTTGTTGCGGTTGTTGTGGTTTTTGTGGTTGCTGCGGTCGTTGCGGTTGTTGTGGTTGTTGCGCTGTTGTTGCGGTTGTTGCGACGTTTGTGGCGGTTGTGGTTGTTCTCCTTGTTGAGGTTGTGGTTGTTGCTGTTGTTGGTGTTGTTGTTGGTGTCGGTTATGGTGTTGGTGTTGGTGTTGTTGCCGTTGTGGTTAGTGTTGTTGCTGTGGTTGTGGTTGTTGTTCTTGTTGCTGTTGATGTTGTTCTTGTTCTTGTTGTTGTTGGTGCTGCTGCGGCTGCTGCTGCTGCTGCTAGTGTTGCTGCTGCTGCTCCTCGTGTTGCTGCTGCTGCTTCTAATGGTGTTGTTGTTGTGTCGGTTGTGGTTCTGGATGTGGTTGCAGTGGTTGTTCTTGGTGGTGCTCCTGCTGCTGCTGCCATTGTTGCTGCTGCTGTTGCGGCTGCTGCTGCTGCTGGTGTTGCTGTTGCTACTCTTGTTGTTGGCGGCGTTGTTGTTGTTGGTGTCGGTGTTGGTGTTGGCGGTGTTGATGTTGTCGTTGTTGTTGCTGCTGTTGTTGTTGGCGTTGCTGTTGTTGTTGCTGTTGTTGCTGTTATTGCTGTTGCTGCTCCTGCTGTTGCTGTTGTTGGTGTGGTTGTGATTGCGGTTGTGGTTGTTGCTGTTGCTGTAGCTGTTGATATTGTTCTTGCTCCTCTGCTTGTTATTGTTCTTGTTCTTGTTCTTGTTGTTATTGTTGGTGTCGTTGGTGTTGTTGCTGCTGCCGTTGTTGTTCTTGTTGCTGTTGCTGTTGCTGTTGCTGTTGCTGCTGCCGTTGCTCTTGCTGTTGCTGTTGGTGCCGCTGTTGCCGTTGTTGTTGCTATTGCCGTCGTCGTTATCGTTGTCGTTGTCGTTGTCGGTCTTGGTGTCGTTGCCGTTGTCATTGATGGTAGTGATGTTGTTGTTGCTGTTGTTGTTGGTTGTTGGTTGTTGGTTGTTGGTTGTGAGTTGTTGGCTGTTCAGTGTTGGTTGTTGGTTGTTGGTTGTTGTTAGTGTTGGTGGTTCTGGTGTTGTGGTTGTTGCGGTTGTTGTGGTTGTTGCGGTTGCTGTGGCTGTTGCAGTTGCTGGTTGTTGCGGTTCTGGCGGTTGCTGTGGTCGTTGCAGTTGTTGCGGTTCTTGTGGTTGTTGCGGTTGTTGTTGTTGTTGCTGCGACTGTTATGGTTGTTGCGGTTGTTGTGGTTTTTGTGGTTGCTGCGGTCGTTGCGGTTGTTGTGGTTGTTGCGCTTCTTGCGGTTGTTGATGTTGTTGTTGTGGCGGTTGTGGTTGTTGCGGTAGTTGCTGTGGTTGTTGCGGTTGTTGCGACGGTTGTGGCGGTTGTGGTTGTTCTCCTTGTTGAGGTTGTGATTGTTGCTGCTGTTGGTGTTGTTGTTGGTGTCGGTGATGGTGTTGGTGTTGGTGTTGTTGCCGTTGTGGTTGTTGTTAGTGTTGTTGCTGTGGTTGTGGTTGTTGTTCTTGTTGCTGTTGATGTTGTTCTTGTTCTTGTTGTTGTTGGTGCTGCTGCAGCTGCTGCTGCTGCTGCTAGTGTTGCTGCTGCTGCTCCTCGTGTTGCTGCCGCTGCTTCTAACGGTGTTGTTGTTGTGCCGGTTGTGGTCGTGGATGTGGTTGCAGTGGTTGTTCTTGGTGGTGCTCCTGGTGCTGCTGCTGTTGTTACTGCTGCTGTTGCGGCTGCTGCTGCTGCTGCTGGTGTTGCTGTTGCTACTCTTGTTGTTGGCGGCGTTGTCGTTGTTGGTGTCGGTGTTGGTGTTGGCGGTGTTCATGTTGCCGTTGTTGTTGCTGCTGTTGTTGTTGGCGTTGCTGTTGTTGTTGCTGTTGTTGCTGTTATTGCTGTTGCTGCTCCTGCTG